ATTTTGTGTCGCCTCATTAAGATTTGCCCAATTAGCGACCATGACGAGCAACCTTTTGAGCGCAGTGCTCTCATTAAATACGACACAGATACCCACTCCTTTTTGTTTAGGCCCAACACACGCCTGGAAGTATAAACCCTCTCTTCTCCCTTGTTTATTTAGATGACTCTCCGCTACCGAGAAATAATAACGCAGGGGCTGACAATGGCGCACAACAATGGCCCCTGTTCTAGTGCAAGAAGTTGACAGACTTGGCGTCGCCCGGCCGTTTATTATTTCTCCCCCAAAACCGTAGAGAAGATCGCCGGATTGTTCATAAAATAATCACCCACTTTATTCACAGCTTTGTGTTATGAGGAAGATGCATTGTTGTAATCAGCCGTATTGGTCCGTATACGGGTATCGGATACACTACCCAACGGTGCAATGTATACACGTCCCTAATCGGTGCGGTTTCCCAGTTACAGTCAGTATTGTGCGAATTAGTTACACGTCATTCTTTTCAGGCACTAGCACTTTTTTGTCCGGTTGTTTAAGTGCTAATTACTTAACGGTTTTGCGAGCAAGATCACGGCTTCCCGTATTCCTGGGGGTGTCGTAAACAAACAAGCCGGGAGGCGCAAGTGTAGTGGGTATAGAGGGGGCATTTCATTGTGTGGCTTGCCAAATCAATTTTGATATCATCGGGGTATGCTCATTGGTAATTTGGATACAGTTTGATATTTTCAGGAAATATACATACATTGCAGAGAGAATGAAAATACGGTGTTAATCTATTCGTGAGCACCATAAAAACAAGAAGGCATCAAAAGCTAGATCACTAGTGGACACAACAAACTATAAATATATGTACCACTCAAGAAATTGGGCAGAAACAAGATTTGCACTGTTGTTTTTTTATAGTTAAACAAGTTCTTTGTGTTGTTGGTTTTTTTTTTCAAAACTGAATAGCATTTTGTGTTTGTAGGCTACACAGTTCCGTCAGTCGCAGAAGAAAAAAAACAGTTTTGAAACTGTTGTGCTATTTCACCAAATTTAAGGTAATTAACACCATTTGCAAATAAACTGATGTATACTTGCAGATATCGAGAAACGTCAACAGAATAAATATAAAGCAGGTTATTAAAAAACTATCCAGTTAAAATTTCAGCTCAGTCGATATACTTTATGAGAAAAAGCGGAAATGCATCTTCAATTTATCAGCGCAAAGCAAGTTTCCGTCCGTTGCAAGCCTTTCAAAATGTGCATGAAACGATTTGACTTACAAACTCTTCTGATACTCTCTAAATTCTAAAGAGTGAAAATTCACTCCATTCGAGTGAAGAATCACTCCCACAGTTGGAAACTAGGGACTAGACGTTTTAGAGTGAAATTTCTTCCATCGTAAAGATCGAGGTTTCACTCGAGCTTCGACTGAAGTGATTCATGTCAATCGAAAAGGAGAGTGATTTTCACTCTAAAATGTCTAGTCCCTAATTTCACTCTTGGAATTTAGAGAGTATGATCCCAGTTTGTCACTCTGGTAAATAGTTCTCATTCAGTGACATGTAACCGATTGCAAACTAAAGTAAATTCGGTTAGTAGGGATGGGAGCAGTATTTGGCCCTAGCCATCGCGAGGAAATGATGGCAATTCCTTTTTTTTTCTTGAAAATGACAGCACACTATAGTTGCAACTCAGAGGATCATTGATCCTATTATGTACATTAATCAAGTAGGATATTTCATAAAAGTTTAGCAGTTTCGTTTTTGAATGTTTGTAAATGTTGTCCATTACGTTTAAGACCGATAATCTAGTAAGACGTTGTTTTTTTTCTGGCGACTTCTGCTCATGGTAAAGGTTATAATTTAGCACGCTTGATGGTCCTGCAGACACTTATTGTCAGGTTATTATAGGCAGTTTTTAAAATAGAGAAGAGTAAATTCGCCCAAGAGACGTCCGGTGTATTTTCAAAACCTATGCACCCAGACCCTTTAAACATGGGGCCATTATACTTAAATCATACCCAGTAAATAATGAACACTTCAAATGTCCCTCATTTCAATCTCCGGAAATTTCTAGTGCCGGCCAAAAAAGAGGGGAAAAAACAGGAAAGCCTCAAAATGGCAAAATTCAGTCCTCAAGACCATGCGGTCAAATCAAGCAGAACCCACGCCATAAAAAAAGCCAACCGGCTCAGGTTTTGCGAGTCTAGTGATTGGAAGCTAACAGGAGCAATGCTACTTATACTCTTTACATCCAAGTTGATGAAAGGACAGCATGATTGCACGTGCCAAAGAAATCAAACTCATCGCCCGCGTCTCCCCTTCATCAGAGGTCATAATTCACCGATACACAGTAATGAAAACACCAAATGAGTTTTGTATATCCGACTGTTCAGTCTCTCTTTCTCTCTTTCTCTCTCAGCTCCTGAGCTATAATTGTTATATGGATCTCCGTTCCTTGATTAAAGCCGTTTTTGTACCCTTCTCCTATCTTCTCCTTTGCATCTCTTTGAGATAGATACACACTCTTTGCCGTGATTAAGTCTCGCTCGCACCGTCGCCAGATATGAATTAGCTTTCAGGTCGGATGTCCGTGTCATATCATGCATCGCTCTCGGGACAATTTTCTAAATTGAAAATAGTAACCTTCGCCGTGGCGAGTGTGCCTGCCGTCCTAGGCTGTTGATAGGTCTAAATCCCCGGCGCTGATGCCCGTCCCAGACAGCTTGTAGCGGGACATGTGTCTTATTGTTTCAAGCTTTTTTTTCTCTCTTCGTCTTCAGTGCTGTTTTTTTGATTGCCCTGTCTTGTGTGTATTTCTTTTCTTGGCCTGCATGAACTTCCACCGTGATAATTGCGGATTTGGTGCAGGTAAGATTGATGGTTTGATGGAAGTAACAACCCGTGTTTCAACGGCTGCCAAAATGTTTTCGGAGGATCTCTTTCCACGTTTTATAGTCTCATAAAAAAAGCTCTTTTGGAAGTTCAATGGTGCATTAAGTGAAGAGGCAAACCACATGATGAAATATTGTGGTGTTCTCTAAAAAAAGAAGATGAAATAAGTACTGTTGAGTTCTCTTTATTGCGTCTGTATTAGTTATTTTTAAGATTATGCTTCAACCTCATCACAGTGGCTTGACCATTTAACGCACCCATTTTGATGGTCGATTGTGTGCTTCCTATTTCTTGATTTTTTTCATTTTAGCATAGGTTTATTTGAATTATGGTCACAGCATTTAAATTTACCAAGTTGTTTGTAAATATAGGGGAAATATATAAAGCATTTCGGGAATATGAGTTATGGGAGACCACTGTTTCTGTTTTATTGCTCTGATTCTCCTTCGTACTTGTTGATGCATTTCGATAACATAATTTCTTCTTCATGCGTAGTAAAGGAAGTGATGAACAAAACTGACGAAGATGATCCTACAGCCATTGGTTTTTTTTTCCAATTTACTCTCTTAACTTTGTTTTCTGAGTTCCACAGCTGCCTCGAAGACGTCGGTGACTCAGCCGACTGGATGATACTTGGTGGATTTCAAATGATGCCCGATGTCATTGCTATCGCATTACCATGAATCAATGGGCAAGCAGGTCCTAGCTGACAGTGCCTACATGTGACTCCCTGGGCCCCGAGACAACCCATTCCGCTAGCCAGGGCCCGGCCGCTCCGCGACGCCAAACGCTTGATTATTTCAGGAGTTTAGTTTCATATCAACTTATTTTCCTCCTGTCCATTCATTATTGTGCAGCTTTTTCTTGGTATTACTCCCGATAAATAATTCCGTCACTGGAAACCCTGTCTGCCTTTCAGATACTTGTCGGCGACTTCTTGGGGGCGATTGCAATTCCGAGTTGGGGGGGGGGGGGGATTTCACAAAAGGAGGGCCTGAAACCCTAGCTGGATTATTGTCTTCATCTGGTGCCAGTGCAAATACCATTACAATTTAACGAGACACATCATTTTGCAAATTTCAATTAAAGTGAGTCCGATTTCCGAGTTGCTGTGGAACTGTGGAATTAATACCTAAAAGTTCATCGACTTCAGGTCGCGTACAACAGACAATCTTGGGAACTTGGTTTTGTCCACTTTGACCTTCGGAAACATTTGGTTCAGTGTTTGAAAAATGAGCCGGTGGTATTGTGTTGTCATTCATTGTGGTGTAGGTTTATGTTACGACTTCCCTTTGCGATTTATAAACACATTTCTCTACATGAGTGTTGACAATAATCTTTACAAAAATTACTGGATGTGGATTTAACATCTCATGGTTTTCAGATAGGGTAGGGGCATGAGCAAGAGTGGAACATGAAAACATTGCCGGCGATCCTTTGATCTATGGCCGGTTCCTCTCGCAACTAATTGGGCGGTCGGATTAGTCACGAGTTACTGAAGTTTCACAAAGTACTCTGTAAGATGTTGACAGTAAAAGCTAATTTGGTGTTTTTGTTTTGTGAAATTGTTTCGTTGGAAACATTTTAAAAGCCCGTTAATTATTTGAGTTTCTTAAACCAAACAAAATATAAAGGCCAAGGAGTATAAAATGGCTGAGATGCTCAGAATGTAGAAAAATTTCGACACAAAAACGAAAACTAACTGAAATATATTTTGAAGCACAGTCTGAACTAAAGAGAATTGGAAAGAAAATGTTCTTTTTTAACGGCACTCATTAAAATATAATTCATATGCTTTGATTTCTTTCATCGTTATACTTTTTTTATTGGGGGGGGAAGGGCTTGGGGGCTACGTCCTTGCCTTTCCCACAGGCGTGTCAGTAATTGTCACACTTATTAGTATCCCCATTTGTTGTGCTACGTCGAAACAAGTGTTGTACTTGTTTCAAACCAGCGTGTGGGAACAGGTACCGGTATACCTTGCTTTTGTGGTCCATCGGCTGAGAGAGGGGAATCGAATTTCTCGCACGTATCGAGTTAATCAGCCACCAACATCGCGTCACCACCACACGAGACGGGGAAAAGTTGGGGACGACAAACACTTTGCCGTTCTGCGCATGGGCGAAGGGCCCTCCGTCAATTCTAGCGCAGTGTGTTGTGTGTAGTAGTACACTACCAACGAAGCTAAGCGACTGGCTGGTTGGTTGTTCAACCATGACCGTGATATAGATGAACACCGCTCTGTGATTCTCACAGAACCCTGAAACCAGATTTCGCAGGTGGACTTCACATGAACGCAGTCCTTAAGAAACATCTCTTCAACCTTAAGTCTGTTTACGAATTTCACTGCCGATTTCCCCAAACTATCAACCGACACTGAAGCTCAAAGGATAGCAAACTGCTAGTTCCACTGGCTGCAAAACCTTTTTACCTTTCAACTCTACGAGGACAACATTTCACCGAATCGGTGCCATCTCGGTCTGCCGTCTACACGCCACTCTGTTCCCATGAGGAGACAGAGTATGGCTCTGCTTAGCTCTGGCTACCCGGCCGCTTTCCAGGGCGGACTACCGTGCAGCGGTCTCCTCTCTATAGGTGTGCCCGGCACGTCGGCCCAACTACCGTACCCAAATCTGTCCCTGATGAGGGTCCCACCTCACCTGCCCGTCGGCTTCACCACCGTGGCCAATCTCTCCGCTGCTTACCTCCAGTCCGCCCAGCTATCGGACTCGGATTTCTCGCCAGTCTTGTCCAAACATCACGGTCACCACCAACACCACCACCACCGTCAGTATCCCCACCAACAACCACAGCTCCATCACACCCATGGACGGACTGCCAACTCCTCGTCCAAGCGCAAAGGTGTCACGAACTTCTCGATTGCCGGTATCCTGGGCCGGGACGACGAGGACTGCACGAATCCCAGCGAGAAATGCATAGACGCTAGCCCGTCCAAGACGGCCGAGGTGCCCGAGGAGTCCCCGGCAAATGGCCCGGGACTCGAGGCAAAGGTGCATGTTAAAACAGAATGCTTGAGCTCGCCCAAGGGTGATGAGGATGAAACGGACAACCCCCTCACGAGATTCTCCTGGCTGCAGTGCACCAGATATAAACCGCCCCGATTACCAAGTAAGTTCCATTAACCATCATAACCATGATAAAATGTAAGCTGTAGGGTTTATTCCAAGTGCTAGATGGTTAAAAGAAAATGCCAACAACAAAAGACCATAAAGACGATCGGAGTAATACTCGATTAAGACGAAAATCCACTACAGAATTATTCATTCACCACTAAATCCAAATAACGTGTCTTTCAATACCTCTCATGTGCATTTTGTCCGTCTTAGTTTTCTTATCATCTAAAATTTGGATTTTATTTTTAAACAGAACTATTCTCTGAATTGAACGACATATCGACGTGACTGAAGAAGCAGTTACATCATTTCATATGAAGAAACGTGAATTTATGATTATGAGTTGCCTTTTTCCCTACATACAGTAAGATTCATTTCCATCTATTTTCCCAATATGCAAAAACAAAAATTGGCAACTTTACCTAGGCCTATATAAAGACAACAATTAAAACAAAAATAATATTTCGGTATTTTAATGCAACTGCCTTTCCCTTCTGATTTCATGGACATATATTTCACTAATTTTGTGTCCGTCTAAACGAACTTTCAATCATTAAATCGACACTACTTTAACTGGGTTTTTTTCGACCAGTAGAACATATCACCTTTAACTTTTCCAAAAATCAATTAAACAAGTTGAAAACGGTTCTCCTTTGCAGCAAATTATATTTCAAACATGTCAAAATATTTTCAATTCGTCGTGAAACTTTTTTTTTTTCGGCATCTGAAACACGTTGTTGCGATGCCTGGGCAAACACATTGCAGTTTAAACAACCATACACAAATCCAAACCATCATTTTATCTGAAAAAAAAAATGAAATGGAATGACTTTGTTATGTAATTTTTTTTCAAGCAACGGTTGAACAGGTTTTGTTTCTTCATCCACCGATGGAATTAATGTGGGTTTTGTTTACAGTCAGTACAAATCACTTGCAGGCAACAGGTTTTTAGGTCTGATTAATATCACATGTCACAGAGACAAGCCTTGATTTTGAAACCTTTTCTCATTTGTTTTGTAATGTACATTATCCGTACATAACCAACAAACATCAGGTGATGGATGACACTTAATGAGCAACCGGTAGCCAAGGGATCTGCGCGGGTGCGATTCGGAAATTAATTACTCTTCGACATCAAATTGGTCTCGAATGTCCCGGCATACTGGGCCCGTTGACCGCATGATTTGCGTCACATTATCTGCTACTCCAGCAATACACATTACCTGTTTGTCAACATTTCAACCAGGAACAAATTTGACGTGTTTGATAAGCCGTTGTATTTTGGATTTATGATTGATACCTCTTTTTTTTGGGGGGGGGGAATAATAACATTGATTTTATTGTCAGGAGTAAAGAACTTCACTGCGTAAATTACATACTGCTTACTATATTCTTTTCGTGGAATGTTGTGGGATTTTTGCCGTGGTTTGGAGTTTACAGCTGTTAGTTATGGGTCATGCTTGGTTTAATTAAAACTGTTTTGAATGAGACGCACCGTCACGCACGTAACAGTCATTCTCGCAAACTTGTGAATAACGATGCAGCAATGTAAGTAAGATGGATCATTGTTTATAGCTCATAAGGAAGTTATTTGTTTTTTCCACCTGCCGATACGAATGTTTCACCCTGAATAATAACTGTACTCAAGGCTTCATCAGTACCCGAATTTTGTAACATTTATTTCGAGATTTTGTCCAAATAGAATCATGTGTTGATGTTTCAAATTTGTAATATTCAAACCTATAGAAAATGGCCTTAAAATTATCAGTGAAGAATGTTTCGTCCTGGTAACATAATATTTGTAAATTTATTATTATTATTATTTGGGGGGTTCAGCTGATGCATAATCACATTTCACATTTCAGAAATACTACATTTTGTGGTTTCTTATGAACAAATGATGTTTGAATATTGTCACCGTTATTTTATAATTCAACCCTCTTTTTTTATTTGCCGTTCTTGAACTTATGTTTATTAAAAAAAAAATTAAAATAAACAAACTAATCATTTAGTTTCTGTTGCACTGCATTTGGCGGTAATAGTTTTGTATAGTTTCAAAGTACAACTTTGACCGGGGACCATTACAACTACATGTATTGCGCTATAACATTCGCCCAACATGGCCGCCGAGTTGGCAGACTGTAAAAGGGAAACAAAACCATGACAAAACATAGGCCTAGGACTGAGAGAAAAGAAAAAAACAAGACTGTAGAGCTGAATGACGTGGCTGTCTCATCTCTTTGTTGATTGGGTCTTCTCGATCATTGGACTGTCAGTTCAATCAGCGCGTATCTCATCCCAACCCAGCAGGGGCACAATGAACCCCGTCCCCCTCCAACGCACAGCTAGCTGTTGCATGCCCCCGCTCCACCGGACGGGTCCCCACGATCGATCGGTGTTATAGCCCGGCTTGTACTCCCAGAAGCCCTGGCACCAGCTTGGATCAACATCCAAACATGAACACTTGCCAGCAGTCTAGCCAACCGCTGGGCATTACCCGTCTCTGAATTTCACAGAAATCCCGCCTAATTATACAATTTTTAGGCAAACATTTAGTTTGACACAGTGACAAGCTCATTGCTGTATGGACAGGTGGTGTTTACATTAAGCATTGTGAATTGAAAGGTTGACTGCTTAATGTATTCATCTGCAACATGTTTTGCATGTCACGGGCATGTGTTTACTTCGCCACACTGCACCTTAAATAATCCCAACTACAATATATACCAGATGGCATGTGTTTTCTAACAATATTAACCACTTATTACATAGTCTTGCATCACTGAGTTGCTGTGAAACTCTCCTCACAAAAAAATACGAACAGAAAAAGTCCTAAGCTATTCTGAGTTGCTCAAGGCGATATGCGGTGCTACCACGCGTGAAGCCTGTCCTACTTTTTTCACTTTTAGTCCAACTGTATAGATATGAACTATTATAACAAAGTACAAAGTAGTTTTTTCTGGCAATGAAACCTCATTATCGGCAGTTCCAGCAGGGGTATTTATCACTCCGATTAGGGAACAAGTTTACTTAATAGAGTTTCTCTTCTTTAGAAAAAAGGCTGAAAGGGCTCTATGAAGTGTTGTTTTGGATGGGCTAACTGCTGACCGGAAAACCATATTTCACCTGCGCCGGCTTGGCGACACAATGACATGTCTGTCGTTTTTTGAGGCCCATAAAAATTGATTTGTTGCAGTTTTTTCATTGTCTATTCTAAAACACGTCGTTAAGATGTATGTCAACATGTACAAAATATTACCAGAACCGGGTCAGATCGTCAGTAATTTCGCACAGCCTTTATTACACGTATGCTTTTTGTGTGAGATTTTGACAATTCAGCTTGCCAAGTTCGGTTGCAGTTAATAGTCTGTTAGAGATCCAATTACTGTATGATTTAGCCTTGGGTAGCGTCAATATTATTCATATGCATGGCTTTCCCAACCCTCTCCTTCAAGCCCAGAGGCAACAGGCAATTTCATTGAGCTTTTAGGCAAAAAAAGGGGAAAGGCTAGGCAAAAAAAGCTTTGTTAGCTTTATTTGGTATTGAACACAATACAAAATAGAGCATATTTTTCGATTCAAAGAGACATTCCGGATACATAACGGCCTGAAGACAATTACACATCCACTTGGCATGGTTTCAAAATTAAATGTTTTTTCAGTTTTGAAAAGAAAACATGAATATTTAATCTGCATTCAAATCTAACTTCAGTTTGCATCGATTCTCAACTATATATAAGGTGCAGAGTGTTGCAAAGAAAACAAAACAGGTTTTTATAGTTTTAGATATTCTTTCAATCGAATTTCCCAACACAGCACCGACGACTTCTGATCGTTTTTTTATGTTCTCTCCCGGAACATTTAGGAGCGAAGAGGAAGGACGGAGCCAAGAAGCGTAAGCTGGGCCGCAACCCCCGGGTGCCTTTCTCGCCCTCACAGGTCACCACGTTGGAGCAGAAGTTCCGTTGCACGCACTATCTCAGCAGCATTGACGTGGCTGAGCTGTCGGCAGCCCTCAACCTGTCAGAGAATAGGGTGAGTAATTATGACATGCTCCTAATTCACTTGTAACTCCACTTCTGAGACGGTGAGAGAAAGGGTCTACAGAGAGCTTCGGAGTCGATGCCATGAAACTGCTAAGCAATAAGACAAAACCGCCCATGTGTTAACCAAAGACAAAAAGGAGAGAGGGCAAAGCAATTTTTAGCGATTTTCCTCGCAAGACGTTTTTCGCTATATGATAATCCGTTTCTTGTTTAAGCAATTTATCTTCTTAGCTTAGTACAATAAAATGATGTGCTTAATGTGCAAAGCAGCTTCACTAAACCCCGGGCATTCAAATCAGATAATAAGTTAATTGTTAATCCTTCAGTTGCATGCATAATAGACATCGCATCACATTACCCTGACAAAATTGCCCTAAAAATTAATGATAAGTATGATTGTTAACTTAATATATCTTCACATTTGTCTGTGCCTGCTTAAGTTGCGGTGGATTATATGCTGATAGTCGTTTTGATTTTCACTCTTACAATAATTTAGCCATCGATTACTGAGATCGGTGCTAGGGAAAATTGGCTAAGAAAACTTCCGGAAATGTTACAATGACTCCCGTGGTTTCAACCGATCAAGTCTGATTTGGGCTGCACCATCAACAAATGTGTCGCGATTAGTTTGCAAAGCCGGCGTCCCAGCAATTCCGGATGTTAAGCCGTGCCTTGCCAGTTCCAACTTCGCTCCCGATCCTTAAGTCCATCTGATCCCCTTCGCCAGGAAACATGTACCAAGAAAAAGGTGTCACTTGTCGTTATCCGCAATGGCTTATAGTGCTATCCACGTGAAAAGATCGCGTTCTGATGGATAAGGAAAAGCACAAACTAAGGCAGAGATGTGCAAAAGGGACCTTGTGGAATTCCCTTGTGTGAGGCAATGTACAATGATTGATTGAAGTAGGGTAATCTTCATGTAGCTTTAACTAGTTTGGATAATAAAGAGTTGTTCTAAACGGGGCGCGTTTATATAGCGGAAGGTCCAGTTAAGTGTGAGACATAATTTTTGGGGGAAGTACATAGTAAAAGCCCTTAATTCATAAATGTATTGGCTGAATCTGTGCAAAAAACTATTTTACAAATACAAATGCTTAAAAATGAAAATAAGTTTATCTTCTGCTGCTAGAATTATGTCGATCGTGTATACACCAGTCGTCGCTTCATCTATGTTTTCTTAAACGCAGTTGCTACTTTAAAAAAAAACTGGCCTTTAGTGATTAACTACATGGAAAACACCTTGTCTTCACTCAAACAACTGTCCGTTTGCTTATTGTGCATTTAACATTTTAAGGTATGATTGGTTGAAACGTGGATACTGACTACCCATTGGACTTAAGTAATAAGCCTCATCCATGTTGAAGCATTGTAATTACCGCACGACAAAACGAACTGAGTGATATCCGATCATATCGCGTGAGAAAAGAAAATTTATGACGAGAGACTGTATCCCGCATGGCAATTTCCTTACTTCTAGCAATATGATATAAAATAGAGCAATATACAGGAGCAATAGGGATAATTAGAATGCACTCTGCACTGGTCTAGCAGCCATGGTTCCACGTTGGTGTGATTCATCGATAGGCCTATACGGCCGCAGCCTAATCAAAATTCTTGCCTAATCGGACTTTTACTCAACGACTCCCGATAAGAAGGTCTGATCGCGACCAAGAGCTCATTATCAACTCGTCAGGCTGTCGCAGGGGGAGATTTGTACCTGCCTTGTCTGGCGTGTGTCGAAATATGGTTTTCATCGAAAAGACCATATATGGGGAACACTTGGTTGACATCCACGTGCGTTTTGTAAATGCCAATTTGCTGCGAAATTCAACCCCCCCCCCTCCCCACTGTAGAAACCCCTAGTTAGATTTGACTAGAAAACAGTCAAGTTTTATCCAGCTGACTACAGCTAGGGTCAGCTGGGTGCAGGTTCGATTGTTCGTTTTTCTTTTAAGTCAAATTTAATTCGAGTGTTTTCAGAGTGTCCCCTGCCCCTAAAGGGCTGAGAATCTTCGCCTGAGAATTGTAAATGAGGGAGATCAGTACGTATAGTGGAGACACAATAGAACAAAATTTGCATAATAACAGCGATCTGTGGGTTATTGGTATCCGCATCCACAGTCGCAGGCTGCTCTTATTGAGGGTAAGGGTGGCAGGGCATGTTGATGAAATTGTAAAAAAAAAAAGGCTATGGTATTAAGCGGTCATGATCGTGGTCACATGACACTTAGTAAAAAATATAATAAAACAATCACCAAATGTAGACTTATTTCAGTTCCACCGACGAAATCCATTTCAAAGTATCCCTCGAAGTCTAAACTCCGCCCCCCCCCCCCCCCCCGTCAAAACAAGAAATAGTCCTGAAGCGTTTAAACTTGATCGATGACAGTTGACTTGAAGTATTTGAACGAACACAATCATAGAGGTGTCGCTCATAAGACCAAATAAAAAAAAACATGTTACGCGTCCTGCCTTTTTGAAAAAAAGGAAGGAGGAGGCCCTTTTTTTTTCTTTTTTTTCCCAAAACGACTGGCCAGGCTATTTTTCATTATCTAATCTAAAGCATTTACTCCGTCCATGCAGTGGAAAAAATTAACCCCTATAGTATCCGTGTCAAATTCTATTCTCGTGGAAAGTGCAGTTGTGAACGCGGTACAAAGCACCCCACACAAATGCCTGTATGACTTGTTAATGTAATTAAAACTACCATAAGAAGGCGATGGCCACACTCGTGCGGGCGACCCCCGACTGCCTCATTATCCGTGTTAATTGACTTACGCATTGTGTGGTGTTAAGTCGGCTTCCTCATTATTTAAAACAACGCCACTTTCCACCCCGTCAATTATAGAAAGACGGCCCACTGCCGTGGGCGATGGAAACATCGCAACGTCCCGTGCGTCTATAGGGGAAAAGTAGTAGTCATTTTAACGGGTTTGATTGGACGATTCATAACTACACAAAGCTGGGAAAATATTGGCGATAAACAGTTTTATTATGAGGAAGATTAACTTTGCCATGCTGGTGCATACATTTCTCATTGGATTACTTTTCTTTGTTGTTTTTTCTTGCATTCGCAAATCTGTGTGTTCCCCATCTCAATTCATGTTGTCCATGTCATGACTTCACATTATCTTTATGGTTTGCTTGTATTCCCAGTTCACATTGTGTGACAGGGGATACGTGGAAACATCTCCCTTTGAACCTTTTTGAAAGGCTTTATAGTTAAAGATGGTACCCCGTGGTCATCAAACATGTTTTTTTTTTCTCCTAAAGAATTTTCAATTTTTATATTTTGTTTAAAACGAAAAAAATCTTTTACGGTTTTTGGGCATCTGCAAGTCTGTGGAAAGAGCTTTCATATTGCGCACGAAATAATGAACCGCCCTCTGAGAGTCGAATTATTGTAGGACCGCAAATAATTCGAGTTTTGTAAAGAAATATAATTCAATAACTAAACGTCGGTGAAATATTTTTTTCGTTCGACGTCTCATTCAAAAGTGAATGACAAATAAATTCTGCTTGGAAAATAGCAAATGAAAAAAAAAGTTATTTTCGGTGTCAAACTCGAAAGTAGAATGGGGAATACATCTTTAACGATTTTTTGCGTCCAAAAAAACCCCGATATTATCAACTAGTCCTCGCTTAAAAGGACCTGACATCAAGCAGTTTTCTCTTTCAATTTGATGATCAACTGAAAGCACTTTGGAGAACCAACATGACAGTGGCTGAATTATCTGTAATCAAAATTTTTCACAAACCTTCATCTGAAGATTGCACTTTTAGTCCATCTCAAGCAAATATTGATTCGTCTTATTAAATAGCCTTTTGCGTTTTGTTTAAATGATTCTGTGTTAACGAAGTTCCTAAACTTCCCAACCGTTAAAAACAAAATACCAGCCTTGATTCACATAAATGTTTGACTTTCTCATACTAACTATTATTTTTTGCCGAATATGCAAAGTTTCGGTAAAATTTCATCAGTAAAATTCGACATTCCTCTGCCATGTCAAACCAGGGTCATACAATCTATAGGAAGCACTTTATCGATACCGTTCGAAACTTGAGCCTTTGATACAGCAAGGCCTAAAACCAACAACAACATGATAGTATAGCTCTTCAAAACAACACACAAACCTATTAAACAAAGCACATACTGCCCCGAGGGGTGTCCAACTAACAAGTTAACTCGTTTAGTCCACTTCATTGAACCGCAGCATCGGGTCCAGACCCGCCGGCTGTGGTGGGGAAGGGCCGACGGAAAGGTACGGTGCATAACATACGCGCCGCTGCTAAAAAAGCACCGTAGACACTTCAAGATCGGCCCGGGGGAAAAGGGCCCACTACACGGCGTCACCGCTCCAACGAGCACCGCTTGTGTCGCGCCGTGCTCGTCCCAAAAAAAATACGCTATAAAAGGGGAGTCCTTGCCTCGTTCGTCAAACTGTCAATACACAAAGGATTTGCTACATTTTTGGTCTATTAAACCAAGGATAGAGATGATATATGTTTGTGACTTTAATGACTCGAGACTAAATGCGTAGTTTTACGGGGGAGGGGGGAGGAAAAAATCAATAGTATACTTTATCATAGAATTGTTGGTATCATCTTCCGCATATGGGCGTGCATGCTCATTATAGAGTGGGTTATCATACGTAATGCTGTGTTTGGAGGATAACACAGTCCCAAGAGCCCAACGCAAAGACATAATGATGCCATATGACGGAAGAATCGAAATTAATGATGTGATTGTGAATTTAAAATTACCTAATACAGTCGAGTCTCGTTATAACAAACTCGTTCGGACCTAGCCAAATTGTTTGTTATATCAGAATTTTGTATTAAGAGGAACATCAGTCCCATTCATTGTGCACATAAATGCACAGTCGGGACCAAGGCTTTATGTTTGTTATAACCAGAATTTTGTATTAACAGAGTTTGTACTAACGAGAGTCGACTGTAGTTCTCTTAATTGAGCGGGTGGAGGTATTACTTGGTCAACAGTTTGGACCCCTTCCGTCTTTGTCTAGCTAGATTTTCAACGTTTGGGTGGGTTTTTTCCCGATTTAAAAACGCGTTTTTGTCGACAGCTTTTTCTCGACGTAGAAGGAATGGCTTACATTTTCTTTAAAATTAACGTCATGTTGGTGAAACAGTATCTTTTCAAGCTATTCGCACCAATCACGGAATTAAGCAATCTCAGTGAATCGTCATGTACAATTACATCAACTTACAAACAATCTAAGTGAAATTTTGCATGAGAGAACTGGGCACACTTATCGTGGCATTGAGACAATTTTGTGGGCATGATGCTACAGGCTAAACTTTAATTGTTTGCAGGAAATACCAAAGATCACTTGTATTGTGGTCAATGAATTTGACAGAATGCACTTTCTACGAACTCCTTCTGTGGTGGATATAGCGCACTGGTCGAGAGACCCCCTTTCACATGACTTCACATGTCATAAACAAGTTAGCGGCGCGGAGGCAACGCGTCGCCGAGGACGGGCCGCGACGCGACGGGCCCGGGGTCGTCTGTGGGGCCAGGGCCCCGCGAGCAGGCCACTTAACCCGGGCCGTCTCGGTGTGGCGAACATCGTAATAGAACGGTGAAACGATCCGTATGGCACGGAGGAGTAGGGATAGTCGAGATAATAATACCCGGTCACACGAGGCAACAAGCCTGCAAGTGAAAAAGAAACTGCCGTGATACCTAACACCACGGCGGTCCGATACACAGTTCTTCAAGTTGTTTGTACCGTGGATACTGTATAACTTGACGCGGTCATAGGGCTGTAACATACAGCTATCACTTTCCCAAATGATACTCTCAAGTTAAATAAAAAAGTTCATTTACCGGCTGAGCACGGCTCTCAATTATACAATATTGGTTTCAAACTGGAGTCAATGCACTCCTTCATGAAAGATTGGACACGAAAAAAAACCCCAAAAAACCCGAAATAATCTGCCTCTACAAGGTTTTAAAAAAAACTCCCCATCATGTACCATGTATTGTTAACCGAAGCAAGTCAAGGCGCGTATATTGCCTGGGAGTGCGAACCCCTTGCGACATGCCTTGAAATTCCTCCTTTTTTTAACAATTTCCTTTTTTGTAAATAATAATGTTAATATTATGTGCCACTGCATTGGAAGACCAGATAGTAACATTAATGTAATCATAGTGTCAGAGATATATATAGAGCTTTATGGTAATGTGAATGCAAAACAAAATAATGTTTGTAACGTTCAATCTCAGCACATGTTGTTCTCTATGTAATGATAAAACAATTGTCCACTCTTGTCCACTGGAAAACTGTCGAAAGTTTCAGAAGCACTGCAACTTTCCCCATTTGTTATTTCCTTCGAACCACTTACTCCCGTGTAATCCCGATATCTGTAATAGAAATGTTTTTCTCATTTTTGTTTTGCTTTATAGGTCAAAATCTGGTTCCAGAACCGAAGGGCTCGGGAGCGCCGTGACAAAGAAACAGCCAGCAAAGACACCCCGTCCTCACCGAGCCACAGCCTGATGAAGCCCTGCGGCTCCCCGGCACCGGCCGCCGGGCCGTCCCCGCTGATCGGCATGGGACATCCCGCACTGTCTCCCTCCCCCGTAGATGGCTGTGCCTCGGCTTTCACACCGCTCTCGTACCCGTTCAGCCGTTAAGTGTTATCCTACCGTTCACCAGCTTTGCATGTCACAGTGTTGGTTAAACCATAGCTCAGAATCTCTCGTTGTTGTTCAAAGAAGAAACTTTTAGAAATTGTACTTTAGAGCATAAAAGTACTAAACTAATGTACCATTTTGTGTATTGTAGGCGTACAATGTGGAACGAGGCGAGTCGTATTTTACACTGAATGTTCAAAGAGTACCATAGGTTAGGTATAAAAATGTTAAATGTTTGCTAATCTTTCAATGATTTTTTTAGGCATGTGGGCACCGATAAAGAAACACTGATTTAGATTTCATTGATGACAAGTGTTTGTTTCAATCATTCCAACTGTATCAAAGTAAGTCAAGGTTTTCTTAATTGATATAAACAATTTACTTTCTTCTGAAAAAAAATCCCAAGAAATTGCTTCAGAGTTTGTTTGAGCATACCCCTCAGAAAAAAAGAGAAAAACATACCCTGCTGTGTTGGAGTCCGTAATCGTCGTGTCCATTCATTTCATACTTGTATGACGGATTGAAAATCTCTTGGTTGTACCTGTCAAAGCTTTCAAATTATATGCACCTATATAATTGTACCTGTAAGAAAGATGGCATATTATTGCATTTTATGCTCACATTTCAATGAAAAAAAAATCCAGTGAAGGTCGCCACTAAAATTTGGGCTGGTTGAGGATTTCAAAGGAAAAGGATTCTAAATTATTTTTTTCAAGGTGATTCTGAAAGATATTAAGAGGTACCATTTAAAAACCACCCACTAATCTGATTCAATAATTTTGGGTGGAAGTTGATGACTGCATGTTGACCATGTTTTAATCCAACGGGCTATATTCACAGAAGGCAAGAGGGTGGTGTTAGAGCTGTTAAATCCTTCAGACGCAAAGTGAAAAGTCCAATATGTTATCGGTGGGATAACTTCAGTTACCTAGTGAATTGTATCAGTGTAGTACATAAACATTAAATTGTCGGTGAATAATGATGCCATGTATATAAAGAACATCTTTATGAGTACACTGTTTTGTAAGATACAGTAATGTAGAAACGTTGTAAATATAAATTAAATATTGTTGAATGGAAGAAAGTCAGATGTTCACATTCAGTACTTGGTGATGTCTTTTGTTTGTTATTAAGCTGTGCAATACCCGTCTGCGCATGCCAATCATAGAAGAGAAAAGACAGCTGCACGACCGATTCAGCCAAATGTTAACAAACTGCAAGACTTGGCATCGATCCCACTTCATGATGATGATTGATGCGACTCTCACCTTGTGAGGCGCCCTCTCTTGAATGATAACGGTCAAATGACTAGATGGTGTATTTATGAACACTTTATGAATAGTTAAATATTCTCGGCGTCTTTTATAGATTGGCGCGAAATTTTTTTACAATAAATTCGCTCACAAATTTGTACAAATTTATACCTGAAAAACGAACACGGGTTAAAAGTATACGGCTTTTTTTTCTCTCCGACACCATGTGACAGTGGCGACAGAGGGCGCTAATCAAAACAAACAAAATGTGGCGCGCAACCACATGGCGTAAACAATAATAGGGTTGTAGATGAAGGCAGTTTCGTTCAAAAATAAAAAAAAATACCATATACTCACAACTCCTGAAGGTGATTAATATATACACTTACATTAAATTTAAATCTTGATTTGCCATCTCCTTTCTGGTCACATTTTTTGTCAGGTATACGAATGCCCCATTCACAATAAATACAGTCCTGAAACCAATCTCCTTTTGAAAAATAAATGATCCCTCCACTTAATGAGTACAAATAGAGCAATTCTCACTCCAATGTAACAACTTCGCCACATTAAAACCCTAACCGCCCTGAATCTTATTTGGAGGATTGAGTTTACATGGCAAAAGTGCGTTACTGATTTCGTGGGATGCACTTTCAAAAGTCTTGGGCCGGACCTTGCATTGTTTTTGCTCAGCCACGCATAAATATAGGCCTGGATTATGCTTGAAATCCTTCCTACTGCTCCAGGATGTCGCTGGCCAAGCCTCAACATGTTGACAGTCACTGCCGCAGGATTTTGCAGGATTCAGGCAGTGGTCACCCTAGCCCTCTACGGTCCACATTCAAGAAATAATGGAGGAAAATGCAGGATTAAATTGATGCTATTTTTCCACGAGGCCAATTGGACTTTTTTGCAGGATTGAGGCTACATCTCAGCAAAATGGCTTGTCATTTTGTGTTGCTAATGTCATGTTGGTCTAATCGGTTGTATTATTTTGTATTGCCTCAAGCTATACCCGAACTATATGTCAGGTTATATCGTGCATGCATTGTATTCTACGGGGCCCAGATTCTCCCCAGAATAATTACTTTCCCGTTAATTTGAAGCCGTACGGGTACGGGCATGCTTCATAAAAAACGATACCATTCAACACAGTTTCCATGTGAATTTGCAATTTTGTTTTTACTGAGATTAACAATTTTCAAAAGTGACCAACCTTGATTAACATGTCGTATTTTACGAGCCGTGTCTGCCGAAGTAAATCTGGGCTAATTCCGGCGGGAGTTCAATGAGCAACGCCACCATAAAACGTTAAACGGGTGATTAACGCGCACTGCAGTGGAAATGAGCTCGTGTCAAACCCTACAAACCTATCAACTGTCTCTTCATTAAACCTCCGATCGTCATCATCAAGATGAAATCTCTTCTTTTCCCCCTATCATCTACAAAATAGCCAATTTGGCGGTGAGGTGGTACGTCTTTAACCAATTTGCGAGTGGTAAATACATCCACACGGTGGCATCAGAATCACTTACACTGATGAATTGCTCTCACAGTCACCGGTTAGGATGTGTTGGTTTGTGTTGGTATAATCATAGAGCAATACCGAGGCAGCGCGGCGGTTTGTTACCGGCCGGTTGAGTAATCAACCAGCCGGGGCTGAGGCCCGCACGCGCGCTGCCTCGTTCCCCTGTCCCGTGGTCAGTCACTCGTCGGCTGCGGCGGGACCCCGGGTTCAGGTTTCAGCCGACCCGTGCGTTATTACTATTTTCTCGCAGGCCCATCATTTGCCGGGCGACAGTGCCAACATGATGTTGCTCATCCTTTGAACTTTCCTGCCGAGGATAATCTCGAATCGTGCATGGTTCTTAGTGATTGAACCTCTTACCGTGATGTTTGTTGCTATTTTTTCAATCATCTTCCATCATGTTTACTTATAAAGCCAATCATCTTCCATGGTTACTTTTGTCGACTTTGTTGTTTCCCAACTGGTTTATTCGCTAACAACACGGTTTTTGTTCGTTCAGTAAAGGTATATTTTTGTTTCTCCTTGATATTAAAAGAAAGTGATCTGACTTTTCAAACTAGATTATGATCTACCCCGAATCCGATTTTTATCTTTGTTGGTAAATCTGGGATAGAATAGAGTTTGCAGACCTATCACGATTTTCGTTTTTTGCATCATTTTAAGCAGGCACTTTAAATTAAGTGTTTAATGTTTCTATTTACATGGATTAACATTTCTGAACAAGTGATAATGACCAAGCTAATAACCGTTTCAAAAGGGGAACGCAGTTGCTTACGCCTTATGACAATTTTAGAAATGTCATCAATAGTATCGAAATAGAGAGAAAAAAGACGCCAGCCTTGTTTTAAGTAAAAGGTGACACAAGGATCATGCTCTAGTAAGCCCGCAGATAAAAATAAAGGGTGGGGGTCCGTGGAGCATAAGGACAAAAATCAAACGGCTACGCTGAGCAACAAAAACACGGTAGTTTCAAAGCTATACGATCTATCCTCAAAAAGAACGAGTGACAAGCTTAGTCCGCGATGGCTTCCCTTTGAAGCGACGCGTCGTTCAACCGTACCGAATTCCCCCCTCGTCCATCACTGAAACTCCCTGGCCCAAAGGGGTCTTCAACCTCGGGTCCGAGTTGCAACAAACCTTCGATTCATTTTTGTTGTCCCATTAAAACTGCACTCGGTAAGTTTGTCTTTTCGCAGTGAATCTAATCCTCTTTACAACAGATTAGACCCCTCCAGCTATCACTGTGCTTTCTCGTCCGCTTGTCAGTCAGAATGGGGTCAAAAGACAGAGCATATATATATACGCGTCGATGGTAACAACTGCTCAGAAGTCTTTGTGTCATTAGTTACAGCCAGGTCGAGGTTTTCCCTTTTTTCTTCTTTTTTAAACAGCATGAATGGGAAGTAATTACAAGAAATAGGGGGATTGATTGCGGAGGAGGGAGATTCGCTTGACCGCGATACCTTTGGGTTGGGTTTTAATGGTTGACCGGTGCGTCCAAGCGAGAAGCAGAGTATACCCTGGTCAAGTAATCCTGATGGCGTGATAAGTGAACAAATGGAGGTGCCCTATACACAGTTACATATGCCGGAATTCAAGACTATAGCTAAACCAGGGGCGGGGGAACCGGGGGGCAGGGGGGCAATTCCCCCCCCCCCCCCCCCCGCCCAGATTTACCCAAATGCCCCTCTTGCGGACATAAATGTGCCCCCTCGAACATAAATGTGGCCCCTCGAGATGAAAACAAAAGTGGCCCAAAAATTTCGAATAATTTGTTTTCAGTAACCATTTCCCAAAATGGTGTACCCAGTTCTGATATGAATGAGGAATATGAAAACCAAGCCCCAAGTACCAGCCCTCCCCCCCCCCCCCTCCCCACTATTTGATTTTACGGAGGCCAAGTGTCCGGTGACATTTCAGATGTGCCCCCCCCCCCCCCCAAAAAAAAATGCTGGATACGCTGCTGCACCGACGGAAGATGCCTTTTACTGAGCAAGTGCCCTTTTTGGTCATGCCCCCAGTTTGAAAACCGTTCCGCCGCCGCTGAGCTAAACTGTATACCATTTTTTTTCGAAATTTGATTTTTCAGGAGCACATGCCTTTAATGAGGGGATGGGGTAGTAAAGAGTCAAAAAGGAACTATCATATTAAATGCTTTGTATATAGGATTATTAAAAACGAAAAAAAGGCAATCCAAACATATTGGATAAGTGTAAAATTTATAAAGTTGAACTGTCAAAGTAGTTTCATCATCTCATTAAGGATTGTTCATCAGCTTTCCATAACTAATACCCGATTTGCATCGTTGTTGCCTCGGATGACCGAGCACCACTGATTTTCAACAAGGAAACAGAGTAAATAAAAAACAATTTGGTATAACGTTTGTGCTCCCCATATTAACGCACTTCTTCTGAGTTTAGTAACTGTTACATGCACACCACACGTATGTGAATAGCGCCCTCAAGAATATCACCAAGACAAGTCTCTGTCCTTTCCTAAATGCTACAAATTATAAGCATTACAATAACTACTCAGTCAAAGGAATTGAGCCCAATTACCGAGACAAATGTAGAACTTAGGGAGGGTTCTCTAGCTATACCTTACACTTAAAGGTCCGGGTTTTTTAAAAAAGAAAAGGAGAAAAGATAAAAACACATTGAAAGCTGGCAAACAAGAATCATGCGTCAATCCATATCGTTTCGTATTTGCTGTCTCTATAACCGTAATGAAATCAATCGATCCCCATGAGTGGATCAATACAAACAATTAGAATTCGTGGCTCTCTATAATTGAATCGATAATTTCTCACCCAGTTTGCGGCAGGTGACATGCTGAAGGAGCGATGGTTTATGACAGAAACAAATTCAAGAGGCAAGAAAGACAAGGCTTGCCACTTTTTCGCGAAACGTTCGGATTTCTTTAGTAGACAACAATTGTTGGGTAAACAGAAAAGGAGGCCGTCTAGATCGACGCGCGGGATCATAACTTATTTGTCGGAATTACCACAATACTGCTTTGGTAACGTCATCAAAATAATAAGGTTCATTTAATAAAGTTAGAACATCCCTACACCTCTCAACCGTTAGGCACCAGGGAACCCTCCTCTGGAACGAAATTCAATCTTCCTGCCCAATAACGTCAATTAGATCATGTAAAATGTATCATAAGAAAAACTACTTCTCACTGCGGTTGATGTTAATGGTGATTAAGAGCAAAATTATTAAATTAATTGCCAAATAAAGTCGTTAATAACACATTGAAAGTTAAGGATGGTAATTTAGTACATGTAATTTATTAATTTTATTAGGTCATGAATTCATG